GAAAGGTGAGGCAGTTTGAGGTCAGGTGAATCTGAACAGACTGAAGGAGGGTGCGAGGAAATAATAAGAGGGATAGTTAGGGAGTCAGTATAAATTAAACGGACGGAGGATTTCTTTTCATTCATTCTCCATCATTAAAACTACGTGCTCGCTTGAACACAGACAGAAACTGGACTGTCGGGTCCCTCTTTGGGTTTCAGGCTCCAGKGAGCCGTCCAGCTCCAACCTTCCCTCCAGTAAGAGACACAGAAAAAGCCTTTTTGTCTCCAATGTCCTGAACGAGAGGTCACAGTGAATGTCCCCAATCTGTAACACTTTCTGCTTTCTTTTTAAAATATGCCATCATTCAGTTTCCTCTTGATTTAAAGAGGTCAGCGCATTCTTGTGTTACTTTGTTATAAAATATCTGCTTTTAACTGCAATCAGTATGTCATCCTGCAGAATGTTGTCTTCATAACGCATCACTAACTTAAACACCTTGAAGGAGGAACAGTTTATATGAAGGAAGGCAGACGTAAGTGTTTAATTTCAGAGAGTCKGTCTTTTAGCTGTTTGTTTTAGGAAACACAACGAGCTCCAGAAGGGGAACTGGCTGAGTGAAAGTGTATTTGCATGATGGCTAATCTGTTAATCGAGCCTGTTCAGTCGGGGCTAGCGGGACTACTAACAGGATTAGTTCATTGATCTGCACACAAAGACGGCACACATGAGTCCAGCCAGCCGGTGGAGGCAAAATTGGCCCAAATTCCTCCAAACTGGAGTAATAATATTTGAAGCACAGGGTACAGTGACCCTCACTGGACTGCAGCTGATCAGTAACGTCATGCTTAGTTCACTGTGACTTGTACTTGACTTCCAGCATAAAGAAGAGTCAAACAATGAAATGTTTCAATCAGTTCACCACCAGCACTTGTCGTCTGCAGTGTGATGACATCATAAAAACCATCAGGCTCATTTATCCCAAACATAAGTTATTCCAGCTCAGAGTTGTACAGTAACTAAGGACAAATACTTTGTTTCTGTACTTAAGTAGAAATTTTGGTTATCTGTACTTTATTTGAGTAATTATTTTTCGGCGTACTTTTTACTTTTACTCATTCCATTTTTACACAGTTATCTGTACTTTCTACTCACTACATTTTTAAAAAAAGGTAAGAAGTAGAAAGTTGTTACTCCTATTTTATTCTGAGTTGTTATTACTTAAAAAAATACTATCCTAATAAATTGTGTCTCCTGGATAGAGTGAATTTAACTGTAGTTGGATGAGAAGTATAAATATAAACCAATCTGAAACCCTATTAGCTTGTACACAACCCATCACAGCTGCACGCTGTTAGAAAAAAATATTTTTGGAGAAGTCACCTCCCAATAAGTCATTTTGGAAAATTTAACTCAGTGGTTCTTAACCTGGGTTCGATCGAACCCTAGGGGTTTGATGAGCCGGTCTCAGGGGTTCGSTGGAGCCTCTGCCATGGAGGTAAAGACACACTWGTGAAAAGTTGTGATGACACRCCCCGCTTGGCCATCACTTGCTGCAGAGGATCACGTGGGATTGCTTGGCCAATCAGTGCTGGCCCCAAAAAAGTATTTTGTGGATTCAAAACAACAAAAAAACAAATTGTTTAAAATAAAAAATCTTATTAAAATGTTATTCTTCAAAAAAAAAAATCCAAATTTATTTGTTATGGGGGCTGAAATTTTTTATGGGGCCAAAATATGTATTTTTTGGGGGCCAGAATAAAGTCATACTGTAATTTGTTGTGAGTTCATGCACTGTGCTGGTTTTGTTCTTTGAGCAAGGCGATGTTCATGCACGGCTCATTTTATACACCAGTAAAAAAACATATACCTATGTCTTGAATTTGGAAAAAAAAAATCATAATTTATTTATCAATAAAAAGGGTTCAGTGAATGCGCATACGAAACTGGTGGGTTCGGTACCTCAAAAAAGGTTAAGAACCACTGATCTAACTGCTCACATTTACTCAGTACTTTTACTTTTAATACTTAAGTAGATTTTGTCAGAAATTTACTTTTAATACTTAAGTACAAACAATATCAGATACTTTAAGACTTTTACTCAAGTAATATATTTAGAGAAGAGTTTAACTTTTACCAAAGTATTTTTATGATAAGATACTTGTACTTTTACTCAAGTATCACTTTGAGGTACTTTATACAACACTGTTCCAGCTTTATACAGAACCTCTAAAAGCATGTGATTATTTTGGAATCAGAAGTTTCTGTTTTATTTAATAGTTTGTGCTTTTAAATGTTTTTAATCTCCATAACACTTCTGGTTGTTAATATCTGACACATTGGAAATCTATGTAAAATATTTGATAAGTTAATAATTTTTTTTATCATTTTAGCTGTTCATAAAAATTAAAACATCCAGACAGAATTGTCTTTGTCCTCTGTCTGCTGTGAGAACTGAGCCAAAGACAGACATCCTCAGATTTCTCTAAGTTGTAAAAACTAAATGTGACTCATTAGAGCGGACCACCTTCCATCATGATCCGTGATCCACCTTTCAAGCTTTTGTGCTGGTTGTCGATGCTTTGAGGTGTGAACATGGCTCAGCGTGAGCCCCGACCAGTCTGCAGCCTCGCAGCCCTTTATGCAACAGACTGTGATGTGCCGCGTGTGCCGACACTTTTCCATCAGAACCAATGTGAACATTTTTTTTTTCCTGCAAATGGAGCTCCGGTTGCTCTTTTATAGGATCAGACAGTTTAGCCTTCACTCACTGAAGACACGAGGCTTACACTGAGCCTCTGGTCTCTTTGTTTATTCTTTCTTTTTTTTTCAGGAAAAAATAAAGTTCGTCTTGTCCTTTGCAAATATTAATAGTTCTCAATAAAGAAATGCAGCAAAAAATGTTTAAAAACATCCATCAAAAAGCAAAAATTGACTAAATTAAATGTTCACAATTCTTGCTGGCCCTGAAAAAGATGAAAAGATCAGACTTTGGGTGGTGTCAGCAACCATCACATCTTTTTTCTTTGTGGAGATGCATTAAAACGCTGCTGGAACAGAACGTACAAGTGTTACCTTATCAAGGTTATATTATTTGAACGCTCTGAGTCTATGTGAATAGAGATGAGTTTTAATGAATATGAAACGAGTGTAACAGAGTGCACGGTGACAGAGGTGCTCCTGTCAGTGTATACAACTGCTTTGACTATTATTTAAATGGAAATGGAGGGGTGTTGCAGCCAGACATCACGGTGTGTGAGAGTTTTAATAATTATGTTGCATTCAAACCCTCATCCAWTCAGGAGCAATGTAATCTTCTACTCCAGGCTTTGAACATCTGTTTAGGCTGTTTGTGTGTAAGTGCACATCTATTTCTTTTTTTTAAGGATATGAGTGTGTGTGGGTGACTGCTGCAGCCGCTCATTGTTGCTATGGTGACAATTGAACTTGAGGTTGAGGCTTCTGTATTTGAAGTTGAAGCTGTTGCATAAGGCCRAGAGTAACACACTGATTCGCACCATGCAAAGCAATTACTGTGCTCTTTTTGGAGATGTGTGTGTGTGTTGTCTGTGATGAAACAGGAATGTGGGGACTGAGTCATGCTGTTGCCCCACAGGAGACGCACAGAGGTCTGAATATTTCATCATCTTTTCTATTGGCTAAAAATACCCTTCATCCTGGTCTTTTTTCCTCCAGTGCAGAATTGAAGCAGCAGTTTTTTTCAAATACAAATCGAACTAATAATGTTTACTTAGCACAGAAGTCGATATGTCACAGTTTGTAGGTGTTTTTATAGAAACATGACCAACATTTTATTCATATTTGAAGTTCTGTAGCTGCTGTTTAGTTGATGGATTCATCAGTTGTCTGATGTAGTTTATAAAAATGTGATCAAACCGAACACCTGAAGCTACATTTTTAGTCATTGCTTAATAAATGCAGGTTTTATTAAGCAGCATATTTTCATGGAGTCCCCCTTACCTCTCAGGTTTAAAGCTTCACATTCAGTTTGGACTTTACTTGTAGGAAACCTGAACTCAGACTGAGAGATGGTCACTGACGGTGTGTTTATGAAAAAGAACAGGACAGGAAAGATGAAGTAAAAATTCCTGKATGAAGCGTGACACAGCTGTACCCTTTCCACAACCTGCTCATTTTAGCTCTGCCTAAATAAACAAGTCTAGCCCAAACAAGGTTGTTAATTATTCACACTACTGAGTGACAAAAAGTGCAATTAAATCAACTTTCTAAAGAAAAAAGCAGGAGAGTGTTGATAAAATATGTAATTTATTCCATATGCATGTATTCTCTGATTGTTCATGTCCTCATTGGTTCTTTCCACTTGTTTGTTTAGCAGATGTAGGACAATAATTGGTGGAGATTTTATGTTGTGCTGACTCAAAGCAAGACTGTCAGGAGAATCATTAAACTGCCAGAAAGAGTTCGTATGCAGACTAATTATCACCCCTCTGCCCCGGAGACAAACACACACGTTCTGTTTCACACTCTTGTATACATTTATTGATAGACCTCCAGCAGCAGGCACATAAAATAATGAAAAAAAAAACTCTATTGTATAGTGAAGTGTGATGCCAGAAGGTGCAGACGGTGCCAGAAACATCAGTGTAGCAGGCTGCCACGTCCCTGCTTGTCTCTTAGAAAAACTCAGTACCTGGCACAGAGAGAGCCTGGTGTCCAAGGACAGAATGAAGGCTTTTACTGGAGTCCAACTGTGTGTTTGTCTGTCTGTGTGTGTTTGTGGAACGAGTGCCTGGGGAGAATCAATAGACAATTACAAACTTGCCACAGTCTTAAGTTGTCAAATTAACATTTTAAGTGTTATAAAGTAAAATGTTGCAGAAAACTCAGTTTTCAGGAACCCCGACGTTTAGATTCTGTTTCTGGTTGTACGGTGGGTTTCAGGTTAGCTGTACAGCATTTTGTCCCAAATGTTCAAACCATTTTTAGCTCCTACAGAAGGAGTTTCTTGTTAATAATGTATTTTTATTGTCTCTGTTTAGGTGTTAAAGATCAATCTTATTGGACACAGAAAACGGATTCTGGCCTCACTGGGAGACCGGCTACACGAAGACACTCCACAGAAACCTCCACGGGCCATCTCCTTACGGGTCAGTGAATATCTGAAAATCTACAATAACACCTGTAACCAAACATTTTGAAGTAGGAAACAGTAGATKTTTTATTGGGGAGACAAAAAGAAAAACTGGGGCTGATGTAAAATATGTAGATTTCATCATGTAACCATGTCAGCGAGACACGTCTCACTTCTCACTGACTATAAACTTCCTGTTCTTGCTGTTGCCACCCAAAGGCAGTAACAAACTGTTTTTTTTTTCTTTCTGGTGGTTTGTTCTGAATAATAATTACAAGGAGGAGGATTTCCTCTCCAGTCATTACTACTCTGTCATGTCCATCAAATGATCTCTTGTTCTCTGTGCTCCTAAGCCARTGAAGRCCCTRTRSATCAACAGAAAYACTAAAAMATGTGAAAGATGGTWCATTTCTGTARGTCTAAACAATAAAACAAGTGTTTKAGAAAACAATTGAGTTTTGCCAAAAATAGGAAAATTCTCTGGTTTTCAGAATCCCAAAAATCAAACAACATATCTTAAATTACAACTAATACAACTAAGAGTTTAGATTCYGCTAGATAAACAAATACAAATGAATATTTAGGAGTTTAAGTTGACTTGTAATGACTGTTTGGACATGGATCCAGGGCTGCGAGTAACACACACCGACACATTTATCAAGTGTTTCCTAACAAAACATTTTAGTTGCAGGTTGAAACTGAAAACTGAAATGTTAAATTGCCGTACGTGTGCCTGCACGTACTAGCAGCAGTGGCTCGGCACATTCTGAAATGATGAATGAACCCTTCCTGTTTTCTTCGCACACRCCCGTCTTGTACCAGGAGCCCGGGGGAAACCACACCCCTCCCCAGCTCAGCCCTTCGGTCGGCCAGGCAGCGTACACAGCGGGGGTCCCTGGTGGATCTCTGGACGTCCAGCACCTCATCATGCAGGCGGACGCCCGGCGCCGACAGCGCAGCACCGAAAACTACTTTGAGGACGTGCCGCGGTCCAAGCTGGAGCGACAGATGGCTCAAGTCAGCATGGTGAGGACGGGAGGGAAGGGATGAATGGAGGGATGAATGAACAGGAAGGGAAGGGGGGGGGGGGTGGAGGTAAACTTCCACTCTGTTTGCACATTTTCAATGATACTATTATAAAAGTGTTATTATAATATAAGTACTGGTTAATGCAAAAGATTCATCCAAGAAAATAAAACAATATAAAAAATGTTTAATATACTAAATCCAAAATAAGATATTTGACTTTGAATCAAGACAACACGTGTACAAACATCTGCCCCTGCAGCTGTGTTGTGATTGAGTTTGATTAGGGTCTTTTTGTGTCCCGCCGTGAATCACAGAGCTCATCACTGCAGACTAACACACACTTACGGTTATCCTGCTGAATCCTAAATGCACGTGCGTCACACTGTAGCTCCCCTTTTCTAAAAACAACACTCTTGAGGTGGCACTGGTGACTCAGCTTGGCAAGAATAGAAGGATAATATCACAGGAAGGAGGAAAGATCTTTCCTCTGTCATTTCCTCCTCACGTTATTCTTAAATCTGTTTTTACTGTTGAATAGACTTCTGTTCTCCTTCTGTGTTTGAGGGAGGATAAATACCCCAAAAGTAACCATTACATTTATTTTTTACAAATCTGTTGATCCTTAAAGTAGCTCATGTTTAAACATTTATTAAAAGTTAAAACCCAGCTAAATTAAGCCTGCATTTGACTCATCTGTGTTCTGCAGATGCTTGTTGACCTCTCCTGTATCTGCACTGAAAATCCTCTCCTTTGCATTCTTTCACCAGCTTTCTGGCAAATAAAAACAGTCAAATATGGACATGCATGCCATGTGAATACTTTAAGACAATCAAATCTGATTTCAATTGTAAAGGAATGAAATCCACAGATGATTGACAAATATGTAGTTTGGATTAGTGTTCTCTAAATAAAGTCCTTCAGGTGTTTGTGTTCTGTCAGGAGAGCTGCTGAAAGATATTAAAATATTGTCCTGATCGTAAAGCTTTTATGTCCTGAACACCTGTTTGATAGCATCTGTTTCCAGACATGTGATTGATTGTCGTTTCAGGCAGGTGAATGGTGTGAGCCAATAACATTGCGTCCACCTAACGAGGCCACCTCGTCCACACCTGTGCAGTACTGGCAGCATCACCCGGAGAAGCTCATCTTTCAGTCCTGTGACTACGAAGCTTATGTGAGTTCAGCTTTTAACTTTACCTGTCTGAGAATTCACAAGAATRCAGTCATTTATTGTTTGTCATTACGATGCTTACAAAAACCAGCTAAGATGAATTATTCTAAATAAATATACTGGTTTATCCTAAAGTCCAGAGTTAGTTTTCACTTTAAACTCAACATGCCYCAGGTTTACCTCTGTTGGTTTTTCAGTCTGTTTTTCTCTGTTTWTTAAATTTAGACTTTCGCCAGTTACATAAAAGATGTTGCGTATCCATGTTACCACGGATACAGCCCTGCACCTCCGATAGGTTACATACAGTTCTTTCAGGCTGAGATTATTACTGTATATATTTAAAGCAAGATGAGCACTGCAGAAAGAAAAGAAATGAATTCCTCAACCAGGTGTCTTGAATTTTTTATGATTTTGAYACACTCATGTGTATCTAAGTATTCTGAGATGTTTTGTGTTGGTCCCACTGCACAAAATAGAACTAAGAACACAACTGCTGTGATGACACTTTTTTCACACAGACGTTGCACCATATTGGCACCGAAAAATACCTGCTGCTTTTTAAATTTTTTTGGTGAACAATAAAACCAAAACAATAGCTGCAAGCAGGTATGAGAGTGGTGTTCTAAACAACATTGGGCCTCATGCAAGAACC